CCCCAAAACCCCAAAACCCCAAAACCCCAAAACCCCAAAACCCCAAAACCCCAAAACCCCTTCCAAAGATTAAAGAATAGGCTCAAGAATAAATATAATTAAATTTAAATTCTCGAACCAATATGAGCAAATTTCAAAGATTTGCAGATGAGGATGAGGAAAGAGCTGGCGCCGATAACACCTCAAATATGCTTTCTATCAAAGATCCCTCTCCGGATTACTCAAGAGAGATCAGAAATGAAAAGATAGATGATAAATTCCGTAGAAGTCCTATTAAGACTTGGCTAAAGATGTTATTTCCTCATTTTGAGCTGCTTTCTTTCTCAACTTTATACGCTCTGATCCTGGCGATAGTTTTTGTACTCCAAGTTTTAGTGTGGTTTACCAGCAGATGGACTTGTGTGATATACCATATGGGAGCATGCTACACCCCAGCTATTCATAGATGGCAGATTCATAGGTTGGTGTTCCCTACTCTCTTACATTATGACTTCCCACATTTGGCATGGAACATCTTCGTCCTAGCAGCAGTAGGGATGAACGCAGAGCATTATCTAGGGACAGTGGGGTATATCTGACTGATTGCAGTCTCAGCCCTGCTTGGAAATATGTTCACTGCTGGATTTAGATTCGGCATATGAAATCAATCTGTAGGAGCTTCTGTAGTTATGATGGGAATTATCGCTTTTGAATTCATATGGTTTGCCTTTAATTGGAAGAAAATGAAAATTGCTAAGTGGCTCTATATTCTGTATCTCTTTATGATCTTCTTAACTACGATGATGGGAACTTGGGGATCTGGCTATATTTATGAAACCTGGGGTCTGATAGGAGGATTTTTAGCAGGAGCTTGTATAACATGAATTTTCTTTACAGAACTTCAGAACGTTGATTTTGTACAGAAATTTAAATTTGGGTTTATTCTTGCTTTGGGAGTGTTATTCCTTATTTCCTTCATAGCTATGCTTATGAGAGATACAAGGTTCTGCTACCCTAATCTATGAAATCACAGATATTATGAGTATTTCAACTAAAAGAACTCACCAAATCCCAAGAAAGAACTATATCATCAAGGTTTTCCTCAATTCTCATCCTCTTCACCGGGGTTTTGGGGTTTTGGGGTTTTGGGGTTTTGGGG